ATATTTATTTCCTTGAAAAGTAAATCTGCTACCATCGAAACTGCTCTGGATGAAGAAGTCCAATTCTCACACATATTATTTGCATGGGATCATAGTTCTTGGTATTTGTTTCTGAATTTAACGTACCTTGTCTCATGGAAATGGACAATGGAGATTAATTTGATGTTGGCCTCATGCTAAAAAGATATCAAACAGGGAATATCTACATTTGAAAATTGAATTTCTGATTTTCTTTATGCATTATTTTTTTGTGGTTTGCACATTATTTCCCATGCTGATGGGTGTCTTATGCTTCCGGTAGGTAAAGGCTAATGTATTGTGCTCACATTTAGTAACCCCAAAACCAGAGATATGTTAAACAAAATCTCATTTCACTATTGCTGATACAAGTCATGTTTCATCTCTTTTATTTATTTGATCTTGCAGGTTATTAGACTCCATGAAGAGTTTTTTTTGCCTGGAGAAGTTATCATGGAGCAAGGAAATGTGGTGGACCAACTATATTTTGTCTGCCATGGTGTACTGGTATGCTTCAGTATCTTATGCCTCTGCATTTGGTAGTTTCATTTGTTAATATCCTGATTTTATTTAGACCTATATTTTTCACCCATGTTTGTATTTTCCCAGTTAGGTCCTCTGATGTTTATTTTTTAATTGCTGCGGAACGGATGGCATTTTTCTAACATGTAATGTACTCTGTCCATGGTTTATATATTTAGTTTCAAAAAAAATGTCCACTGGATTTGTTTTTTTTGCTCAATTTACTTGCCACCTGTAAAGCCTGGGGTTCAATTATATCCTTACTAAAAGTATGATAAGCTAACCGAAGTTTCTCCACCTTGGTCATTTGGTATGCAAGTCCTCTTCTTGTAAATTTTAATCCTTTTTCATGATATAATCTAATGATGTTAATTAGTGACCAAGAATTGCAGGCTATAGTTCTCACCATTTTTTAATAAAATTTTCATACAAGAAATATTATCTTTCACAGGAGGAGGTGGGTACTGCTCAAGATGGATCAGAAAAGACTATTTCATTTTTACGTCCTAACAGCTCCTTTGGTGAAATTTCAATCCTGTGCAACATTCCTCAGCCTTACACAGTTCGTGTTTGTGAACTATGTAAGCTTCTGCGGCTTGATAAACAATCTTTCACAAATATTCTGGAGATATATTTCCATGATGGTCGGAGAATCTTGAACAATCTCCTAGAGGTAATTAACTTTGCTGCTACCATAAAACCCTGTTGAAGTTCCCGGAATCTGGAATTTTTATAGTAGAAATGGATGCAAAATTGCCACCCAGAATGTGCACAAAATTCTTTTTCTATTCTTTACACAGGCTTTATGAAATTTGGTTGCTACAGCTACAAACAATTTTTTTTTCATAAATTGACAGGGAAAAGAATCCAATCGAGTTAAGCAATTGGAATCGGATATCACCTTTCACATTGGTAAGCAAGAAGCAGAACTTGCTCTGAAGGTCAACAGTGCAGCTTACTATGGTGATCTATACCAGCTTAAAGGATTGATCCGAGCAGGGGCTGATCCCAACAAAGTAGATTATGATGGACGGTCTCCTTTGGTATGTTTTATGCTTATGAATCTTTTGCTGGCAAAGTTGGTCTTGTTCTTTTAGCATTTACCTATAAGATAAGAAATTTATCCAAATTCTGTTCAGTAAATTTAAGATGTCATAGAGTGATCTTATCATTATATAATATTCGCAACTGATTTGATAATGTAAAATATTCTTATTGTCTTGTAAAATGTGATACCTCCAGCAAAGTAAGTATTAATGGAGGACATACTAGAGGCTTTAAAAACTGCTACACTTCATTTAACAAAGCCCCTAGAGTTCCAACAGTTTCTTTTTTTAATCGAATAAAGAAGTATATTAGAAGAAAATAGAAAAGATATACAAAAGGAGAACAAGACATCCTCTATGAGAGAAAATACAACAAAATGCAAAGAAAAAAACAATATTCACAACGTCAAGACAAGTGAGGGAAGGACCCTAGTGTTCAAGAAATGAGAGAACTCCCCAATTTTTACATAGAACAGATAGCCAATGTCGGAATACTTTCCATTATCCTTAGCCCATAGGGATTACGCAGTCCCACATATCTGAGTATGTAGAGAAACAGTGCTAAAAAAATACATCCATTTCTCTCTAACGAAATGATCCACAACTCTGCCAAATTGGCTCCTCTTGAAATAAGTTATATTATTGGCAGAACTCCAACTCCCTTGAAGTGGGAGATCAAAAAGCATTTTACCAAAAGTGGAATTATTGGCATCAACCCAACCATATCAAACAATCTTGTCCACAATCTCCATGTGGTTTCACACGGCATAGACAAATGAAAATGTCTCAGCGTTGCACCTGCACGTGATGGACAGATTAGGTGAAAATGCATAATTAGGTCTATGTTTTTGCAACATCTAATTGGTATTGATCCAATTGAAAACAACACATTTACTTTTCAAAACACTGACAAAATCAAGCTGATGATAACTTAGGATGATTAGATTAGTGTTGGAAGAATGATTTATGTCAAGAATTTTTTCACGTATACTTTATTGAATATTACAACCTTAGATATATTGTTATTCTAGAATGAAAAAAGAAATAAACAATTAATTATAAAGATGTAATTTACTCTTGTATCCTTTAACTTAATTTACTATCTCTTTAACACTCTCCTTCAAACTAGAGAGTAGATGTGTCTATTTCCAGCTTGCCAATAGAATTTTAGAATGTTAGATTTCTTAAGTCTTTAGTTAATACATCTGTCAGTTGAGAGTTATTAGGTATGTGTAGGGTATATATTAGGTGACTGTCAAATTTTTCTTTGGTAAAATGTTTATAGATGTCACATGTTTGGTTTGATCTTGTTGCATCAGATTGTTAATGTTTATTATTAACTTGTTACCACAATATAGGCACATGGGGTTTTCTCACTTATTCTAAGGTCTTCCAATTTATTTTTTTTCTATAGTAGTTTATTTACCTCTTGTGCCATTATCCTGAATTCTGATTATGCATTGAACTCACAACTTTATTTTATTTCGTACTTCTCCATATAACTAAATTGCTTTAAGGAGGGTATAATAACTTATAATAAATCTTCTGTCTAGAATATCTGAACATCTCATCCAAGTCTTTTCACACCTTAGTATACCTTTCTGTTGGCAATATGGTAGATTCTTCTATCTTTCCATTTTCTAGCGCATGATTAACACACTTTCCGATTTGTTCGCAAAACTTTGAGTGGTGGGTGATTAATTTTGTTTGTGCTCATTGTTTTTAGACACTAAAATTGGGAGGTTTTTTCATTCAGGTTAAAGATGGTGACTAGATATGGCAATTACTTGTAGTAGTTTTATTAATTGTTTTTGTAATGTAATCATATTTATTTTATTCACCCAAACATAATGTGCATAATCAGGAAGATAAAGAAATTGGAAAAAGAAAGGAAGAAAAAATTGTTTCTAAAAGGGATTTGTTTGAAACAGCATCTTGCAGCATGCAGAGGATATGAAGATATAACAGTTTTTCTTATTCAAGAAGGCGTAGACATCAATATAAAAGGTAATTCTTTTATTGTGTAAGCTCTCACTTTTCTTTCTGCCTGACAATCTGTCTATATGCACATTAGAACATGCACTAAAGTAATTTCCATTTTTGCACAGACAAATTCGGGAACACACCCTTATTAGAAGCCTTAAAAAATGGACATGATCGAATTGCTTCCTTACTAATCAAAGAAGGGGCTTCTTTAGATATAGACGATGCTGGTAGTTTTTTATGTACTGTTGTTGCAAAAGGTGATTCAGATTTTCTGAGAAGGATTCTTTCCAATGGCGTTGATCCAAACTCCAGAGATTATGACCATCGAACTCCACTTCATGTTGCTGCCTCGGAAGGATTATATTTGATGGCAAAGATATTGGTGGAATCAGGGGCTAGTGTTTTCTCAAAGGACAGGTGCAAAATATTTTCATTTTTCTTATTTGATGTGGAAAAAAAATGTTTCTGTTTTTCCTCCAATTACTTTTCTAGAATGCTTCGACTATCACATCTAATCATGCAATTGAAACTCTACCATAGGCAGGGATATTTACTTTGATGTTACAAGTGAGTGAAAATATTCTATTTCAATGATTTGTTGATCTTGAAATCTCTTGTTTGTATTTATTCATTAGTTTTCAGGACTTGTTCTTTACACCTTCTTGTACGAAGAATTTATGTACATTCCTTTTTTTTTTTATGAGGAATGAGGAAATTTTAATTTTTGTCGGGTATCTTTAGAAAGCACACAAGATCTATTCACTTCTCTATTACTACGTTTGAATAGTTTTAACCTTGGATTGAAAAAATTCCCTTCTCTATTATTCTGCCTATATTTTTGCAAGGAAAATTATAGACCGTCGTTTTGGCATCTAATAAGCTGTTCTTACTCTGCTCAACTTTTTAATTATTTAGCCATTTACAATTTGCAGAGGAGGAAACACACCCATTGATGAAGCGCAGATGTGTGGAAACAACAATTTGATCAAGCTACTAGAAGATGCTAAGTCTGCTCAGCTGTCAGAACTTCATTATCACTCTCAAGAAGTTAAAGGTATTACCAAAACTTTAATTCCATCTTATGCTAATATGAGCTTTTATATTCTTCAATTAACTGATAGCTAATACACATTAAGCTTTTCTAGATATAGAATCAGTTCACGAAAAGAAAAATTAAACAATCAAAACTATTTGAATTATGGGAGTGATTCGCAGTTATGTTGTTATGAGTAAAGATTTATCAACCAAAGAGGAGTACTTAAACATTAGCAAAAAGTTGTATGACCACTAAATATAATATTTCGTTATATTTGTAAAAAATAAACAGTATGGTGGTCATTTTGTCAAGTCGGTTTAAGATTTGATAATAATTAATTATGTGACATATTATTTCACACAGTACTAAAATTTTGTGCATCGTCTACATTTTTAACCTAATGAGTTTCTGCATGAGGAAATGCTATTGCCTTTGTACTTTCAAGATATTGGTTATTCAACCTATTATTGCACAACCATAGGTTACCAATTTTAGTTAGACGCTTTTCTGTCAGTTTTTCTGCTGGTGAAAACAATGGAGGTTTCATTTAGCAGTCAATGTCTGGTTTATACAAGTCATGCAAAAGAATTACGGCAGCAAATTTATCTGATGTCACTAGAAACCATAAAACAAATATGTTAGAAGTAAATAAATATTTTTTCATGTTAAGTTTTCTTGTCTCATTTGGTACCTCTGCTCATTGTAGCCTCCACAATTTTGTTTGATCATCCTGTCTCTTATCATCACTAGCAAGAGAATTTTTTTCCTTAACTGCGCAGATAAAATGCACAAAAAGAAGTGTACCGTCTTTCCTCTCCATCCACAAGATGCTAAAGAACAAAGAATACATGGAGTCGTTTTATGGGTTCCACGCACCATTGAAGAGCTCATCAAATCAGCAGCCGAGCATCTATCTTTTGCAGATGCTTCATGCATACTGTCTGAAGATGAAGGTAAAATTATTGATGTGGACATGATTAATGATGGGCAGAAACTCTACTTAATCAGTGAAACACATTAGACAGACATTTTTACTAGTTTGATATTACAAAGCTCAGGCTTCACGTTATTCGATTGTGAGATTGTCGCCTCTGGATACTACAATTATTTGCATATCTCTAATCTCATAGAGAGTTGTTCAACAAATAATGCGGGAGGTATAGAATACTCAAAGATCCATTCTAGGAGTAAGCTTGTCACTTGTTGTTGTTGTTGTAATGTGTTTAATTTCACCATCTTATGTGCTTATAGATACTACAATTATCCGCAAATACTGGTTTGTCTCTGTAATCGCCATGTAAATATATGCGTCAATTTTATCTTCAGAGAGAATAAATCTATCACAATTTCACGAAATTTCATAGTAAACTTAAATTCGATCTTTTCGGAGAACAAAATTAAGTTTGATCAAACCACAGTAAATTTTCCAGTACTTAAATTCCCTGGTTTAACTTTCATATTAAGCTTTGATGTTAGCAGATATTGAGGTCATAAAAACCTATATATAACTTTCTCTTTTCCAGATATATTTGTGTTTTACAGTTTTATCTTGCCCTGGGTCATAGAGGATAGCAGGAAGGAACATATATATTACACATGAAAATCATAAACAATTTTCAATCATGTATGTGTGTGTAGACATAAAGAAGGAAAATACTCAGTTTCTTCTCTGAAATCATGAAGAGCCAAAACGCATATATTTCTACCTTGTCAATTGTTTGGATTCAAGACAACAACAGTAAGACCATAATTAATTTCCCAAGCAAGCAACAGTCATGACCTTACAGCTTACAGCTTTTCTCCGTCAAGAATCAGAACTCCAAAATCATCTCCAATCAGTTTTGAACTAAGCATTAGATACACACACCCATATAAATTATACATACATATATGACATGGTAAAGCAAAAATTCACGCTAATCAAGGAGACAAGCAATATCTACATATTTATATATATATATATATATGTATGTATATCAGTATATCAAGCGATTCGAAGGTTTTGGACCTGCTTGAATTGCTTTTGAGCTGCTCTATTGGCAGTAGTTGCATCAAAGCTTCCTTTCACCATTTCTACTCATCAGATTCTCCTCACGATCATCTCTGCAAGTAGTTGACTTCAGAGTCGACTGAAAAAGATGACGAAGAATACCCATCACACAACTCACAAGAGGAAGAGAAGAACATGTAAGCACAGCAGCTTGCCTGAAATCCATGATCATGATTTTAGTGGATATATATATATATATACCTGTATCTATATATATATATAAATGTGTGTGTGTGTGTGTGTTGTATATGTCGAAAATGATCAACTCGAAGCTGTCAGTATAATAAACAGGGAGAGTGGAGAGGGTTTTTCTTTTTTTTTTTTTTTATAATTGATTCGTACGAGTATTTGCGTGGAGACGAAGGCAATAAAATGGAGAATCAACGCGTGTAGAAAAATAATTTTTACCGAGACAGTGACTGGCAAAAAGAGAAACTACTTTGAATTTGGTTCTCTCACCAGTCTATAAAAAAACATTTTTTCTTTGTCGTCAATTGTATATTAATAAAATTATAACTAAGAAAACCATAAATTTTTTAACTTTTTTTTAGTATAAATCCGTAATTTATTAATATAAATATAAATTTAAATATCACTTATAATAAATTTTAAATTAAAAAAAATTAATTAATTATTTAATTAAACAGTGATTAATACCATTAATTTTTAATTAGAATACACACAAAACGCTTACTTGGTAGCACATTTTTTTTTTCTATCAAGTGTAATCCACAATCTGTTTGTCCCCTCGGTGGTTTTTCTTGATTGTGGAGTTTTCTTCTCTGAATTGATTAATTATAAGGTAAAAACAAAAATTATAATGGCCCATAAGAATATATATATATATATATATATAAATATATTAAAATAAATTAATATATGTGCTTCTCGTGAAAAAATAATGTTTTATATAAAATTATTAAGAATTCACAAAAAATTATAAAACTTAAATTAAAATAAAAAATTAAATCATTTGAAAAAATCTCATCAGCTTAATACCCCTGGAACCTACAGTGAAAGAAAACGACGATTGCACGCATTTGAGCGGAAACAACAATAAGATATAACTTCACTCATATATATTTTAGTCCCTAGTTTTTTTTTATAAATTACATATATATATATATTTCTATATACATATTTTTTAAATGTAAAAAAATTAAGTCAGATTTTTATTCTATTACAGTTATCTTCAATTAAGCTAATCTAATACCTTAAAATATTCTATTAATACAAAAATATAATAGATTTATTAAGATTTAATCTAATTTGATTATTATAGTTATATTAATATATTAATTAACTAAGTTTACGATTGCACTCATTAAAATATTATATATCAATCGTTAACTTATAATACACTCACACAATAAAATTATAATACCCCAAAATAAGATTTTAATGTAATTTAAAATTAATAAATATAATTTTTTAATTTTTCTAATTTAATTTAGAGTAAAAATGAAGTATAAATTGAAATGAGATGAAATTGAAAACAATTTTGAAGAAAATAAGTGAAAATTTGGGTTCTTAGAGTATTTTTGAAAGAAAAATTAGAAACCAGAGATCAAACTGTAATTTAAAAAAGTTTGGTCACGTCAGATGTCCGGTCAACAGGCCCGATGAATCAAGATGCGTTGCGTGGCAGCGAACGCTGACGCGGTGCCACGCGGGCAATCTGCGTGCCCGCGATCGAATGACCCAGATCCGTTCCCGCGCGCACGGACGGCCCAGATGCGTTCCCTCCCCAAATGTGATCGGACAGTCCAAATTAGATCGCGATGGATGACCCATATTGGATCGCGATGAACGGTCCAGATTCATTCTCTATTTAATCGCAATCGGACGGTCTATATCAAACGCGATGAATATC